GTTGCTCAGGAACTCATCACACAAGTGGTCACCAATGGGCTGTAGCAGTGTTCGAACCACATGCCGAAGGTCCAGAACAATATACTGTACCATGCTTTACACATGGAACCTGGCGGGGGGTATAGGAGGCATTAGAGCCAGAGCATAACCAGCAGCTCAAGCATTATCCATCAGAGAAGAAGCGCGTCGGTGCATCGCTTTTTCAGGCACAGTGGCAGGAAACACGATCGCAGGCGGATGCAAGAATGCAAAGCCATGGAAGTGGAAAACGAAAGGAGCAAGAACATCCAATCAAGCCTGGTCAATTTGGTAGAAGCCTGCCCGCGAGGCAATCAGCGGAGTATCACCTATGGTGATTGTCGTTTGGCCCCTGCATCTCGCAAAGGTTATTGTGGTTGGTGCGGCGTGACACATGAAATAACGGAGGCCAGTTCGAGAATGCATTGCGGTATTGGGAGCCATTGTTGTCGTGACTACCGCACTTGCACACGTTATGCGGAAGGTGCCGAAGCGAGGCAGATTGTTCCAAACATTGGCTTCTTGACGCAACACTTGTTGGCGTCGCCGCTCCCGAGAAAGACAATGTGCGGATTCCGGGTATTTGCTGTACGTGCGCGCACCTCCAGCCGCCCCAGCATGCCAAGGACTACCTCGTGTGAGGCCACAGCTTCCTGCGCCAGCCGGTAACGGCCCGGCCCACCCCCGCCGGCGGGATGTCTCCGCACGTCCGTCCGTCCGTTTGCCCTTCCCTCTCGGAGGCGACGATCGGGGCGAGTAGCCCAGGGGGGAGCAATGCATGTATCCAGGGGCGCCGATGGCACATGCTTTCGGTGAGGCTCCCGGGCGAATACGTGCAACGCCCGCCCCTCGGTTATTCGCCCCTGTCGTCGCCCCCGACCCTCCCCCCCCTCCTCCCCAGTCGGCATCGGCTCCAGGCGTGCCCGCGCGCCTGGCCGCGCGCGCCCGCAGCCCCGACGGCTGGCGGCGCCGGGGGGCAGCGCGGGGGACGCCCCTGGCGGCGCACATGTCCAGCGGCCGCGCGGCGGGCCGCTCCCGCAGCAGTGGGGCGCGCATGCTCCGCGTCGCGGAGGGGCTGCTCCGAGCAGCCATCGCCTGAGCTCGGCGCCACCACGGCGCCGCACGCCGTGCGTGCAGGAGCCCCTGGCCGCGGCGCCACTCCGCAGGCGCCAGCGGCCTCGCGGGCGGGTGCGGCGCGGCGCTCGGCCCCTCGCATGCGGGCGGAGCCCTAGCGAGGACGAGGACGAAGGCGACCGCGGGGCTACGGCCGCCGGCGCGCTGGGTGGGGGCCCTGGCGCGGTGGCAGCCGCAGGTGCCCTCGAGCATGCCGACACGGCATGCCTCGGCGACGGTACTACTTGGGCCGACGGATTGGCTCGCCCGCAGCCAACCGGCGTCGGAGCGGGAGCTGCGGGCGCCTGGCGTCGAGGTCCTGGTTCGGCGGCCAGCGGGGGTGCCGTGGATGTTCGGTCGGCCTGTCGACGGCGTCGCTGCGCAGCCTCACCGTGCGGCGCTGGAGCCAGATGCAGGTGTTCGCAGCGGTTGGCGGCAAGCCGCCGCAGGGAGGCCAGGAATTGGTCCTGCTCTGCGGTTCTGTGTAGCTTTGCGCGGTCGAGGGAGGGGGCCTGAGCTGGTCAGGACCAACCTAGGCCCCCCGCTGGCGAATGCTGCGTCTGGGTCGCGACCATCTATGTACCCCTCGGGGCTGTCCCCCCAACCAAACCTCCCCAGATACTCCTCCTCCTCCTCCTCCTCCTCCTCCTCCTCCTCCTCCTCCTCCTCCTCCTCCTCCCCAATTCCTCCCCGTCATCCTCTCCCTCCTCCTCCTCCTCCTCCTCCTCCTCCTCCTCCTCCTCCTCCTCCTGCTCCTCCTTCCTTCTCCTCTCCTCCTCCTCCTCCTCCTCCTCCTCTCCTCCTCCTCCTCTCCTCCTCCTCCTCCTCCCTCCTCCTCCTCCCTCCTCCCTCCTCCTCCTCCTCCTCCTCTCCTCCTCCCTCCTCCTCCTCCTCCCTCCTCCTCCTCCTCTCCTCCTCCTCCTCCTCCTCCTCCTCCTCCTCCCCTTCTACTCCTCCTCATGTTCATTTCCATCCTCCTCCTCTTCCTCCTCC